CACCTGGCGTGGGGCTCGGGGCCCACTGGAAGGCGTCTATTTATTAATTTATTTATTTTTATTTTTTGTATTTAAAAATACCCTGTACACTCAGACTATGTTGGGTCTTAGAGCAAACGCATCCGGAAGAACTGCAGCTTTCAAAAGGTGTCTTTACTTAACAACCCATGCAGTATCGAAAGCCACTATGTTCCCATTCTTTGCAAGGGGTAAATTAGGTTGAATTTCGATATTTTTGGATTCTATTTCCCAGACTTATTACCAAACGTTTTCGGGGATCGGAAACCACTGTATAACTATCACAAGGGGGTAGCTTCAGATGCTAGCAGAGGGGGTAACTGAATATGTTAATTATTCAGGCCGGGACTAGCAACCAACTTGTGGATTACACCAAACACGGAGGGAACAACTGCATGCGCCAAATCAAGCTGGTTTTCGAGTTTATACGTCCGGTGTGACGTGACAGAGAGTCCCCCAAAACAGAGAGTACGCTTCCCATTCATTTGTACAGGTGAGCCTTGCCCTAGATTTTGACCCAATTAGGTCAGACTAACCCTAACCATTATAACTACCGGTATATGGAAGGCGGCAGAGCTCAGGGAGCATTCAGATTTAACATATCATAGCAGCAGGGTTGATCCATATCTGCTGGGATTCTCGTTCACATGGAGTTAATTACCCCCTAGCTGCTGAAGTTGGCATATAACACATTTTAACTGATAACGGCTGCTTCAATCGAGCGTTTTTATTGCAGCTATCATAGTGAGTTGTGTCAATCATAAAATGCTCTGAGCTGTGGCTGACTGTATTTGCACATTTTATTTCAATTTAGTTAAAATGAAAATAAATAGAATAATTTGTACTTAGCAGCATTACTTAAAATATAACATTTGTAGGGAAAGAAGGCGCAAGAAGGCAGGAAAGAAGGCAAAGTTTTGGGAGAAAACAATTTGCTCATGTCAGCAATGTAGCCTTGTTTGATTATTCTTGTTCTATATGGTTGTTAAAAAAATTACCCATTTATTCTTATTACATAGTCCCTGAAAGGAAGTTTTCTGTGTTTACTTGTGACTTGACTCTTTTTTTAAGTGTATTGCACTGTGAACAGCGCCCAATTGCACAATTTACAGAGACCGTCATCTACCAGATTGATGGAACTTTTTTAAGATAATATTAAACTAGGTTACTAGTAAATATTTTATGGGATTTTATACAGTTATGAAAAAGAAGGTAAACAGAAAGTTGTGGGTGCAAATGATCTATTAGCATCAGCATTATTCTCACTAATAATCATTATTCCCTAAAATTTTTTTCAAACAATTCATTCATTTTATTTTCATTAGTCTCCAATAACGAAGTGTTAAGCAAGAAAATGGGCAGAAGGAAAATGACAAAGAAGAGTGGCAAAGGATTGGTTGATATTGGTATTCAAATAGATAGATGGAATGTAGTACGGGAAAAGCTACAAATTATGCGACATCCCGAAGTGGCTAAACTGCTGTTAGATACGTGAGTATGGATACTTTCCTATATAATGTATATTTTATTGATGTAGTGTTATCTTTATATTTTTCCCTTGGCGATTAATCAGCGTATCCTAGCTGATATCAAGCAAAACATATAACTTCAGTTTTTTTTTTGTACATGTACGAGATTATTACTCAATAAATCCCACATACTCAATAAATCCCACATACTTCAGAGGCTTACCCCATCTGATATCAATGCTTCCTTCCAGTCCAGGTTTTATGTATGATGTCGAGTTGTCATGCTTATACATTTTTTTGTTTAAGAGTAAACATTGAAATGTTAGGTAAATGTTAGGTACTGTATTATTATTTTCTGAAAGTAATATATATACCATTTAAGGTTTACATTATGATTAGGTACATTGCATTTTGATTAGGTACTTCATATCTACTGGTCTCAGTTCCAAACTGGATTGTGCTGCTGATGAAGAAATTGGTGACACCAGTGGGCAGAGTAAGTCAAGACAGGACACTCCTCATGATCCATGCTGGCATTTACATATTTGATAATAGAGTCATTGATCTCTATCATCTACCAGACTGATGGAACTTATTAAAATAATATTAAACTAGGTTAAATAATGTATTAATTTTATGTGAAAAAGAAGAAATATACAGAAAGTTGGGGGTGCAAACAATCTATTAGCGTTAGTATTATTCTCACTTGATTAATAATCATTATTCCCTTAAATTTTGTTCGAACAATTCATTCATTTTATTTTCATTAGTCCCCAAAAAGGAATTGGTAAGCAAGAAAATGGGCAGAAGGAAAATAAAACCAAGATATAAGCAGAATTGCAAAGGATTGGTTGATATAGGTATTCAAATAGACAGATGGAAAGTAGTGCGGGAAAAGCTACAAATGATACGACATCCTGAAGTGGCTAAACTGCTGTTAGATATGTGAGTATGGATACTTTCCTGTATAATGTAAGGTCTACAGACCCTTTTATAAATATATATACTACTTAAGGTTTAAATTATGTTTTTTAATATTAAAATATTGCATTTTGAGTAGGTACTTCAAATCTACTGGTCTCAGTTCGGACCTGGATGATTCTTCCGATGATGAAATTGGTGACACCAGTGGGCAGTGCGAGTCAAGACAGGAAAATCCTCATGATCCATGCTGGCTTTTACGTATGTTATAATAGAGTCATTGATCTCTATCATCTACCAGACTGATGGAACTTTTTAAGATAATATCAAACTAGGTTAAATAATGTATGAATTTTAAATGAAAAATAAGATTTACAGAAAGTTTTGGGTACGAACGATCTATTAGCGTCAGTATTATTCTCACTAGATTAATAATCATTATTCCCTTAAATTTTGTTCAAACATTTCATTCATTATTTTATTTTTATTAGCCCCCAAAAGGGAAGTGTTAAGCAAGAAAATGGGCAAAAGTAAAATAAAACCAAGATTTGAGCAGAGTGGCAAAGGATTGATTGATATTGGTATTCAAATAGATAGATGGAATGTAGTGCGGGAAAAGCTACAAATTATGAGACATCCTGAAGTGGCTAAACTGCTGTTAGATACGTGAGTATGGATACTTTCCTATATTATAATGTAAGGTCTACAGACCCTTTTATTTTATTGATGTAGTGTTATCCTTATATCTTTTCCCTATTTTGGTTAATCTCTAGCGATTAATCAGCCTGTCCTGATAACAAACAAAACATAACATCAGTTTTCTTTTGATTCATGTACAAGATTATTACTCAATAAATACCATGTTGCTTGGATCCATAATATGCTGGATACTTCAGAGGCTTACCCCCTCTCTTGATACCAACGCTTCCTTCCAGGGCAGGATTTTAGTGTGACGTCAAAGTTGTCCTGCTAACACAAATGTTTTCCTTTAAGATTAAACATATTGATATGTTATTGTTTATTATTTTCTGAAAGTATTATATATACTACTAAATTATGTCTTAATATTTTTTTGATTAGGTACTTCAAATCTACTGGTCTCAGTTTGGACCTGGACGATTCTTCTGATGAAGAAATTGGTGACACCAGTGGGCAGTGCGAGTCAAGACAGGACAATCCTCATGGTCAAGAAGCTGTAGGTAGTGTTCCAGTATCACTTGGAACAGATAATAATATTCCAGATCAAATATTGAATTTGAAAGTTGATTCAGATTCCGTTAGCATGTTTACTGGTGAAAATATGTGTGAAAAGACTGATGCTTTAGTTGTCAGCCAGAGCAAAGAAATTGAAAAAGAACCTCAGAATCTTGAGCTTCTTCAGGATGAGATAAGTGAGGAAGTAAATTACGTCCCAGAAAAAGATAATGGTTTTAATGAACAAAACAATGGAAATGTAGCTGAAGCAGATGATGAAGATTTCAAGTCCAGAGGTGAGGAAAGTGATGATCTTTATGAACCAAGTGATGAAGATCTTGAAACAGATGATGATAGTAGTGAGGGAAGTGATGATGCTTATGAACCGGGAGATGAAGTATATGTAAAAAACAAAAGAAAATGCCAAAAATGTCGCAAGTTTATCCCAAAGGCATCATTTAAGAAGCATTTAGAAGTGCATAAGAAGAAACAGAAGATGGAATGCATATACTGTGGTAGTTGTTTTGAAAATGTGGAGGAATTTAATGCACATGTTCATGAAACAAAACCTGTCCATGAATGTCAGTTCTGTGGAAATTTCTTTGAACTCTACAGGAAATTCAGTAAACATGTCAAAGCGTGCCAAAAAACAAGAGAAAGTGGGACAGTTACGAGGTCATTTGTTTGCCATTTGTGTGGTAAAAGTTATCCTTCTGCAAATTCCCTCAAGAAGCATGAGAAACATCACATAAGTGGATCATATTTTTGTCAGTACTGCCTAAAAGAATTTGAGTTTAAATGTGCTGCTAAAGCTCATGAAAAAACACATGCAGAGGCAAATATATACATTTGCAAACATTGCGGAAAAGTTTGTGCCAATAAAATAAGTTGTAGAGCACATGAAAAGACACATTCTGCAGAGGCAGCCAAGGAATCACAATACGATGAAAGTTTTTTATGCCAAATTTGTGGCAAGAGCTATTGCACAAAATCTAATATGGAGATACATATTAGATATCACACTGGTGAAAGGCCTTACAAATGCCAGATTTGCTTTAAGTCCTATGTTGGTAGTTTCCATCTCAAACGGCATATGTTAATTCACCAAGGCCAGAAACTATTCAAATGCAATTTCTGTGAGAAGTCTTTTCCACGAAAAGATGCCTATGTTAGTCATATGAGAGTGCACACAGGGGAGAAACCTTACAAATGTCGCTACTGCCCTGAAGCCTTTTCTCACAATGTCAGTTGTAAGGCCCATGAAAAAGTTCACAGCGAAAGAAAATGATCATTAAATTTGTTTTTAGCTCAACCTTTTATTAATCTCTTATAATTTGTTTTGTATTTCCTATTAAATAAAAGGGAATGAAGAAAAAAAATAGAGGTTGTTAACTTTTCACCTTTACTTACAATTCCTTTCTTTGGAAGTTGAATAAAAAGCATTCATTCAGTATACATTCAATATACATAATTTATCAATACATACAAGCAAATGATCAGAAACACAGTTTATTTAGTTTTCAAAAAAAAAAAAAAAAAAATTACAGGCATGAAAAATGGCATCTACGTTCTAAGCTATACATTCATCAGGCCTTCCCAACTACGAGACGCAGCACCGAACGATCCAGTATTAGATCGGACCACTTTACCTGTTTTCAAGGGCGGTTCTAAGANTTTCCCTTTTTCAAGGGGGGTTCTAAAATTTTTTTTGAAAGGGGGGCCCCGCGGAGCCCGACCCCCCCCCCCCCCCCCCCCTCTCAAACACACATACACACACACATACCTAGCGTGGGGCTCGGGGCCCACTGAGAGGCGTCTATTTATTTATTTTTATTTTTTGTATTTAAAAATACCCTGTACACTCAGACTCTTTTGGATCTTAGAACAAACAAACTCAGACTATGTTGGATCTTAGAACTGCAGCTTTCAAAGGTGTCCTTACTCAAAAACCCATGCAGTATCGAAAGCTACTCGGTTCCCATTCTTTGCAAGGGGTAAATAATTTTGAATTTCGATATTTTTGGATTCTATATCCCAGACTTATTATCAAACGTTTTCGGGGATCGAAAACCACTACTAGCACGAGGGAGTAGCTTCATATGCTAGCAGAGGGGGTAACTGCAGATGTTAAATCGTCTGACCGGGACCAGCAACACCAAACATGCGCCAATCAAGCTGGTTTTCGAGTTTATACGCCCGGTGTGACGAGACAGAGAGTCCCCCACAACAGAGAGTACGCTTCCCATTCATTTTTACAGGTGAGCCTCGCCCTAGATTTTGACCCACTTAGGTCAGACTAACTCTAACCATTATAACTACAGTATATAGAGATGGAGGACGGCAGCGCCGGTTACATGCCTATGCGTCCCCGCACCGATCCCCCCACCCCCCGCACCAATACTTCCCCGCACCGATACTCCTCCACAATTACAGATATACTGATGGGGAGTATCGGTGCGGGGGAGTAATGGTGCAGGGGAGAGTGCGGGGGAGTAACGGTGCGGTGGTGTATCGACATGACCCCTGCACTTTTTATTTCAATTTAGTTAAAATGCATGGAAATAAGCAGAAACATTTGAACTTAGCTGCATAACTTAATATGAAATTTGTGGGGAAAGAAGATGCAAAAAGTTTTGGGTGAAAATAATTTGCAAATGTCAGTGTTATTGCCTTGCTTGATTATCTCTAAAAGTTTGTTCTAAGCCAAGGTTATAAAATAATTTATCCATTTCATTCTTATTAGTCCTCTAAAGGAAGTGTAAAGCAAGAAAATGGGCAGAAGGAAAACTAAACCAAGATATAAAATAAGTGCTAGAGGATTGGTTGATATTGGTGTTCAAATAGACAGATGGAATGTATTGCGGGAAAAGCTACAAATACGACATGCTGAAGTAGCTAAATTGCTGTTAGATATGTGAGTATAGATATTTCTTATATTATTTAAAGTCTACAGACTCATTTATTTTATTGGTGTAGTGCCATTGTTATATTTTTCCCCAGTCTGGATATCAGCGATTAGCCAGCATATCTTGGCATCACGCTAAACATTAAACTTCAGTTTTTTTTCTTATACATGTATAAGATTATTACTCAGTAAGTCACAAGTTTGCTTGGACCTATAATATGCTGAAAAGGACATCGTTCATACGTCAGATGCTAACCGTATCACCTCCTGTGTTATGAGTGCTTCCTTTCAGCAACAAGTTGAGGTTTTGAATATGTCAGAGTTTTAAATACAAAATGTTTTTTTCGACATATTCAGTGTTACTGTTTTATTATTTTAAAAAAGTATTTTATATATTCTGCTAAGGGTTATTATTGTATCTTTATTAGGTACTTCAAATCTACTGGTCTGAATTCGGACCCAGATGATTCTTCAGATGAAGAATATGGTGACACCAGTGGGCAGTGTCAGTTAAGACAGGACAATTCTCAGGACCAAAAAGTTAGTGTTCTAGTATCACTCAGAACAGATAATGATATTCCGGATCAAATATTGAGTTTCAAAATAGATTCAGATTCTGTTGGCATGTGTACACGTCAAAATACGTGTGAAAAAACAGGCACAATAATTGTCAGCCAGAGCAAAGATATTGAAAAAGAACATCATGATCTTGAGGTTCATCAGGATGAGATAAGTAAGGAAGGAAACAATGTCCCAGAAATAGGTAATGGTCTTAATGAACAAAGTGATGGAAATCTCGAAGCAGATGATGAAGTGTTCAAGTCAGGTGGTGGAGAAAGTGGTGATCTTTATGAACCAAGTGATGAAGATCTTAAAACTGATGATGATGAGTTAAACTCTGGTAGTGAGGGAAGTGAAGGATATGCACAAAACAAAAGAAAAAGTAAAAAATGTGACAAGTTTATCTTAAAAGGCTCTTATGAACCTGGAGATGAAGGATATGCACAAGACAAAAGAAAATGTCAAAAATGTGGCAAGTTTATCCCAAAAGGTTCTAATGTACCTGGAGATGAAGGATGTGCACAAGACGAAAGAAAATGTCGCAAATGTATCTCAAAAGACGAAAGAAAATGTCAAAAATGCGGCAAGTTTATCCCAAAAGCATCATATAAGAAGCATCAAGAAGTGCAGAAAAAAGAAAAGAAAATGGAATGCGTATGCTGCAAAGAAATTGAAAAAGAACCTCAGAATCTTGAGGTTCTTCAGGATGAGAGAAGTGAGGAAGTAAATGATGTCCCAGAAAAAGATAATGATTTTAAAGAACAAAACGATGGAAATCTCGAAGCAGATGATGAAGTTTTCAAGTCCAAAGGTGAGGAGAGTGATGATCTTTATGAACCAAGTGATGAAGATCTTGAAACAGATGATGATAGTAGTGAGGGAGGTGATGATGCTTATGAACCGGGAGATGAAGGATATGTACAAAACAAAAGAAAATGCCAAAAATGTCACAAGTTTATTCCAAAGGCATCATTTAAGAAGCACCAAGAAGCGCATAAGAAGAAACAGAAGATGGAATGCATATACTGTGGTAGTTGTTTTGAAAGCGTGGAGGAATTCAATGCACATGTGCATGAAACAAAACCTGTCCATGAATGTCAGTTCTGTGGAAATTTCTTTGAACTCTACAGAAAATTCAATAAACATGTCAAAGCGTGCCAAAAAACAAGAGAAAATGGGACAATAAGGAAGTCATTTGTTTGCCAGTTTTGTGGCAAAACTTATCCTTCTGCAAGATATCTCAAGAAACACGAGAAATGTCACATAGCTGGATCATTTTTTTGTCAGTACTGCCTAAAAGAATTCGAGTCTGAACGTGCTGCTAAAGCTCATGAAAAAACACATGCAGAGGCAAATATATACATTTGCAAACACTGCGGAAAAGTTTGTGCCAATAAAATAAGTTGTAGAGCACATGAGAAGATACACTCTGCAGAGGCAGCCAAGGAATCACAATACGATGAAAGTTTTTTATGCCAAATTTGTGGCAAGAGCTATAGCTATAAATCTAGTTTGCAGTTACATATTAGATATCATACTGGTGAAAGGCCTTACAAATGTCAGATTTGCTTAAAGTCCTATGTTAGTCGTTATCATCTCAAACGACATATGTTAATTCACCAAGGCCAGAAACTAATCAAATGTAATTTCTGTGAGAAGTCTTTTCCACGAAAAGATGCCCATGTTAGTCATATGAGAGTGCACACAGGGGAGAAACCTTACGAATGTAGCTACTGCCCTGAAGCCTTTTCTCACAATGTCAGTCGTAAGGCACACGAAAAAGTTCACAGTGACAGAAAATGTCTGTAGCTTAACTCTCTTTTATAATTAAATTGGCAGTATGATAATTTGCTTTGTATATTTTTATGAAATGAACAAATAAAAGAGTTGCAAGATTGCTTTTCAACCCGGTTTTTCACCCCTACAAATGGTTCTTATCTTTGGGAGTTAGAAAGAAAGCATACATTCCCTATGTGGTTTCTTGATCAAGGAATGAGTTAGTAATTTAAAACCTCATTTGAATAAGTCATGAAATTCATTCATTAAAGTCCATGAAAAAAATGTCCTCTTGTCACAATATCTAGTGATTTTTTTAGCCGTTATGGTGACTCCAACTATTACCTCTCTTCTGGCTTGTATTGTCAACTCTTATTTTGGAGATGGGACCTTTCAAAACTTTTTCCAAGTCTGCCATCGTTAAACCAATTCTAAAGAAGGGGAAAACTAAAGGCCTGTGCCAAATTTGTCCAACCTTTGAAAGTTGTTGAGCATGGCATTTGTTAGATTATTTGATCATCTTCAGTCTGATGATCTTGAGAAAATGCAATCAACATATAAACCCCATCAAAACAGTCTGCACATTTGAGAAGGGAAAAAAAGTTGCTTGAAAGGGCTTATAAACCTTCACCAATACCATAAGTTCTAACATGTAACCGTTTTATTGAAAGAGTTACACAGGCTGCCCATTGGGCTCATATTCTTTTTAAACTTCTGACTCATGCATGTTCGTGTTTTTTTATGGTTTTTCTCCCTCTTCCATCTGGAAATGTATTATAATGATACATTTACATGACAACAACAAGGGATACAATGTCATAAAAACAACACAGGGTTAACTCTTAATCTTTATTTTGAAAACAAAATTCAAAATAATATGGACGGCATAATAAAGTGAACAAAAAGAAAAAAATACATATATCACAGTTACATTTACACTGTAAAATAATCCAAATAAATTTAGACAATTTGGACGGCTCTCTATTCTTGGACCATATTTACATGTACGTAAAAAAGTCTTTGATTCATGCTTGCAATATGCCTATACAGAATGTGACAGTTAACATTCTATTAAATGAAATAAAACCTAGATTTCTCCACTTTGAATTTCACGTTTCACTAAGTCCTTGTCAATGTGTGCAAAATCTTGTTTTTAACCAGAATGCAGTCAAATAATAATTTTGGGAATGCAAAAAGTAGTTCTTCAAACATGGTACATTTTACAAAATAAAGTTTTTGTCACATATTAACTTCTTGAAAATGATTCTGTAAAAGAAAAAAAAAATGCAAAACTGATTGCATTTTATCTCAAGCAAAAAATATATATATATAAAATATATATATATATATATATATATATATATATATTGACACAAATCGAGCCCCATTCTAGGTCTTGTAAAGCTGGACCACTTTTTCAACAGACGACTGCCAGCTGTCGGTCCACCTCTGTTCCTCATTAAGCCAAGTAAGTTTCTGCTCCTCAATGCTATGTAGGGTTTTCTCAAATTGTTTCTTATAGTCCTGATATGCTTGGTCCCTGGCTGTGACAGCAGCACTGTGACCCAGGGTAGTTTTGGCCGTGTTGACCGAGGCGGTCAGTTTGGGTTTGTCTGGCTTATCTCCACAGACCAGTTCATTCTTCACTATGCCTAGAAGAGAAATGATTCCATAATGGCAATGAATGTGAATTAAGAGTTGGCCTTTGGCATGCAAATAGTTAAATAATAATAATAACAATAATAATAATAATAATAAAATTCTGCTTAATGCACCAATCAAACTAATTTTAGTCAATCAATGACCAGCCAAACTCTTTACGAGGAAGAGGAGGAAGTAACATCTTCATAGCCTTAATAAACATCTGTTGACAGACACAGTAAATTCATAAATTGATTGAAAAAATAGTGTTATATATACAAACTGCCTTCATATCTATCATTCTCACCTTGCCAGGTCCCTTTCCCCCTGGGCAGAGCATTCTTATCTTCCTCATCTTCTAGAGGTACTCCAGCCGCCCGTCTCCTGATTAATTCACTTGTTGGGTACTTCTTTGGGTCTACTCCTAAAATGATCAAACATAATGTATTTATTAATGTTTAACAGATACAAAATCTAGAGGTTAACCTCCTCTTGTTTGTCCTGATAGCATTTGGTATCCTTCAACATGAATCAAGTGATATTTGAAGTTCTGGAGCACTAGCAATCTCAGAATGACAAAGAAAAAAAGCGCCTGTAAATCACGAGATACTTACTTCCCTTCTCCACATCATCAACTGTGAGCAAGTTATCAAACTGGAGCAGGAGCTGTTCTGAGGCAGAAGCCAGCTGGGCGATAAACTCTTCTGCGTGCTCCACTGAAGATTGCTGAAATTATAGATTTTGGTGTTGTGCAATGTGGAAGGGCTACCAGCAAACTGTTCATAGGCATTAAGCAGTTTCACTAACTCTATGTAAATGGTAATTTTATGATTTTTGTTTTTCGGTATTGATTCCCACTGTTTCATCGTGTTATTCTATTAATAACATTTTAATCAATAAAACTATGTATTTGTGCTATCTAACTGCCAAAAATGTTTTGGTTAAATACATAAATCAAACAGAAAGGACACATCAAGCTGTTGATGCTGAAACTATCCAAAAAGACAATATACAGAACTAAGTAAAAACATAACCTTCCAAATTTTGGGCTGGCATTAAAACCTATGAGAAAATAAGCAGAAGTCAAATTCCAACTAGACTGGTTCATTATGACAATTATCATTATGACATTATACATCAATTTCAGCTTTGTTAGAGAGCGTTAACAACCAGATAAATTTTCTTCCTCCCACGTGTGACATGTCAGCAGAGGCAGAGCATTCAAATCTCGGCATATGCTGTCAAGTGGGTCACACCATACTTGATCCATGGACTAGTCAGTCTTCGGATCAACCGGCTGTGAATGCTCTCTTACAGCAAAATGAGTAGCAGTATCTTTTACCTGCTGTTTGCTGTGGTGTCCTTGGACTCCCTGGATGTAGTCTGTCCTCCGGCTCTCCTCCTCATCACACAGTGACTTCATCTGGTGGTGCTGATGGGGGTGACCCAGGGTGGGGCGCAGCAGGTTCTTGTGCTCATACTGAAACAGGAGAAAATAAAATAAAATTACATTAAATTCAATTTAAAAAATAATAAAAATTTAAAATTCAAATCTTGTGCTAGAAGAGTTTCACTGAAGCAAGATTACAGTTCATAGTTTTACCTGTTGCTTATAGAAGTTTAATCCATACAAGATGAAAACAATTTATGAGCAATTGTGTGAATGATATTATATTTTGCCTTATGCATGATAAATCCCTTCATGTTTTAATATTCAAACTGAATAACTTAAGAATAATGGTTAACTTAAGCATTATTAAGTTATTCAGAAAAACACGCTGACAAATAAAATTTTGCTCGCTTATAACTTAATAACTCGAAAAAAATCATAAACATAGTACAAAAAGTAAAAATCATAATTATTACTAATCAAAAAGTTGCTAATAAAATTATCTATCCTTGACATATGCCCACACCTTCTTTGAGTTCCATTTCTCCAACTGCTGCTGAAAAGCTTCATCTATCTCCTTCCTGACTTGGTGCGCCTTCTGGATGTGAGTCTTGGCTATCTCGTTGATAACCAGGGGTGGGACGCGGGCTATCAACTGCTCTAGATGTGTCAACTGGCTGCGGAACTCTGGAAAATGGAGATGAACACACCATAAATTACTTTGTTACAAGTGGTGAAATGAGTGTCTTGAGCCTGAGTTTTGAAAATGATCTCTAAGTGAATATTTAACCTAGCCATTTTAATAGCAGAACTAGAAGGATCTCAGGACTCGTAAGTATATTTTTTAAATTTTGGAAATCTGTGATTCTGTGAAAAAAGTTCATGTATGCTAAATAGTGGCAATTTGAGAATACCTGTGGATATAATTTATTAAGAATTTCATAATAAGTGCTGGCTCCAAATTCACATTCTACTTCTAGAATCAGAAACAAATAATACACACTTGAGATCTCAAACATATTTGTTTCACCTCATTTCTAGTTAAGACTGGTAAATGTGTATTATGAATCAAAATGCTCACATTTTTTTTTATCTCGTTTAGCTCTAATCATATCTCACCTTGCAAACACTGGTTGTGATACTCGTCAGCCTGTTTGTAATAGGACTCTAATTTCTGGACCACGATCTCTGCACACTGTTCAAATGTCTCCTGCAGGGCTTGGGGTCTGGTCACTGGACGGCTGCCCTTTTGGCGGTAGTACAGCTAAAGATATAAAAATAAATAAATAAATAAATAAATAAATAAATAAATAATAGAATTGCACATACTTCTATAGGTAAGCTTGCAAAAAGAGTTTAAAATATATAGTTTAAGTGTGGGACACAGCAAATATTCCATTTATGATTTATGTTTTGAACTTTTTTTCCACCTACCAAACTTTTTCAATTTAATCCCTCTCCATTGCCAATTACAATAAACTAAAAATTATTATTATTATTATTATCATTATTATAGTAGTAGTAGTAGTAGTAGTTTATTATCATCACTGTATGCGTATGATTACATAATAATAAGCGAGCAGAACATTACATACAGGGATAAATGATCAATAAAGGCATAACAAGTATAATATGTAGCGCAATACACTACCATGACAAAAACTTATAGTTCGGTACACCGTTTTTAAAAGCTACGTTTCTGATATTTTCAAGACCTTGTATACATATGAAACGACTAAGTGCAAATTGTTCTTTGAAAATAGATCCCCTAAGGACGTATATACCAGTTATACAACTATTGGTCTTTTGAAATGTTGTGTTGTTCTCTGTGAATGCTGGAATACTAATGGACAGGTGTATTTCCTCACCTCTGCAGTGGTCAGAAGACCATCTAGAGCCTCTCGGAGAGTATGGCGGATTTTACCAAGAAAATGGGACTCTTCCCCCTCTTCATCTTTCTCTCCAAATATCAGGAAACGTTTGTCAATCTTCATCTTATTACTGCCATATGTGGAGCGACGCACACTGGAACATATATATTGGGTTTATTATGTACAATCAATATACGAGATAATGTCATTTATCATGCAATTAAATATCTTTTTTTTTTTCAGTTGTGAATTTTGTGATGCTGGAGCCAACACATTTTACAGAATAAGTGAAATTAATCTGAAAATCTTCTAATTATTTACTTAAATAAATAAATAAATAAATAAATAAATAAATAAATAAATAAATAAATAAATGACCTGCTGGAAGAGAATGACTCGTATGATTTTAAAATCAAATAAAATTTTTAAATGAAATTCTTCTTTCTCTGACAGTAATATCCACATTTTTCATGCACATCAGAACCAGCAGTCACAATGGCATTGCTACATAGCTGGTTCTATTTGAATGATATTTTGATTTTTTTTCTTCTTTTTTTTCCAAACCTAATACACTTAACTTAATTCTTGTGCAACAAAATCATAATGACTTACGCAGTTAAGGAAATTAAACAAATGTTTGTTACAAAAAAATAAAAAAGACTTTAACATTTTTGAAAAACTTTGACAAATGTATGTTATACAAGTTAAAGTGTATTTCTACATCACTGCATTGTCAGCACTACTTGCTGAAACTTACCGCACACACACACAGGGATCCAAAGTTAGTATTAAAATTGATAAATGATAGAACACTATTCATTAGTAATTATCAAAACCATATCAAAATTGCATTAACAGCTATCTACCATCTAAGATTGTTACCTCTAGAACACTTTAGTAAAAGCAAGTCTAACTTGTATTTTCAAATGAGATAATTCTATAGATATTTTACATTAAAACACTCCAATGTCACAATTTTCAAAATCAAAATAGCTTGAGCAACTACCACAATAAAATATTTTAAAAAAATTTAATGTTCAAAAGCCTGGTCTGTATAAAATGTAACTAACTGCATTAAAATGGCATGTGCAAAACAAAGAATGCTTATTAAAGCATTAAAAATATAAATGTTAAGCAGACCTAAATTGTGCAACATAAATGTACTACAAAATTTAATATACTTATGAAGCTAAAACAAAAAATCTACTCAAAATGTGCAAAATAATTAAAGGTCATGCTACATGAACTGCCTGAATTTTCCTTTATCATTTCAGCATTCTATGATATATGTTTAGGTGACACAGAGCTGTGGGCATGACTACTACCTCAAAATGCAATATTTTCTTCAACTTTTATTTTAGAAATACAGAGACATGGGGATAAAGCCAAAAAAATTGCTAAAATTTTCAGTTTTGTCATCTTTATCACATCAATCCTAACCTCAAGTTTGATAACATCAAAGTGACATAAAAAGCCCTCACAATACACAAGTCATTTTCTTTTTCTTCCATCTCACAAAACACAAGAGTCATAATATGAGAATAAAAGACATCTGATTAGCAAAACACACCAAGACAACTGCAAAATCTGTTATCATGGACATCAATCAGAATTAATATTAGATTACAGTAAGATTTGAAAGTTCAAGAGCCAGAATTTAAAGCCACTTATGCCTTTATTACTATCTGTTTAAAATTTAAAAATCTACAGTCAGATCTGAAAATTCAAGATTCAAAATTTAAAGATGCAAATTCAAAATATCACAGTTAGAACAGTGCACTCGTCTGGGTTAATCTTTGTGCTGTGCAACCTACGATGAAGCCCGACTGTGGCTCCCCCTGCTCGATCCCCTGTGTTCTGTCACAGGTCTCAGGTTTACGAGGGCTGTAAGTTTTGTCTTTGCTTTCATCACTGCCCAAATATCAAAGGGGCTGTCGGAAAATATACCAGGTTATATCATTGAGTAAGGTTTTAAATCTTTGTATTCAATCATCCTCTTTTTTTCTTTCTTTTTATGTGAAAATAAAAATCATGAAATGAAAAATCTGTTAGGTTTTAGTCATTAAAGCTTGTCGCCTTTATCTTCATAATCATCAGCCCACTCAAACACTTCTTTGCAAAATAACAAAGAAAAAATTAATGTAAATGCTTGGTAATGAACTTAAATAAGCCATATCAAAATGAATTGAAATGTCATAATGTGGCACCCTAAAACATACGGTGATTCATTTCTCCTCCTGAATTTTGACTTTGACTGCGCCGTTTTTGTGACTAGACCCCACTGTGAATTCCTGTTGGGTATGAATTATACATTATAGATCCATCCACTAAAAGACAAAAAACTATATCCGAAAACATCTTTTGGCAATTTTTGGCCGAAAAAGTGGGCAAGAAGGAGATTAAGTAAGTGGGCAAGTAATGCACTTAGCATAACATATTTGCCCATCTCTGTTGAATTCAAGCAAGTTTTTAAATATATGAACCTGCAATATATATGACAACATCAAAACTCACAAAGCAACCAATACATGTGCTTTACAAACTGTGCAACACAATAACAGTGTCAAACTTCACTTCTACAGGTAACTTGAAAAGTTAGGTGCATCCTTAAACTTATTTGTCCTGAACCACAGCAAAAAATGTTGTGATTCAATATGCTTCTCGTTAAAATCAAGTGCAATTAGCCATCTACACCATATAACACTTAAAGCATGCAAATATAATAAAAAAATAAGCATTTATTTCTATGGATAAGATTATAAGCCTTCATCACAAACATTTCCCAGGATTTGTACAAAAGCATTACACTGTATTTACTACAAGCAAAACTCTTTACGACTCTCATACAACAAATTCGATACTTTTCAGAACCCCTTTAAATTTTTGCAGAGCAATATGGTAGATTATACTAGATATTATTATGTCTAGGTACTCACGCAGACTGAGATCTTCTGGTAGGGTCAGAGGTCGCTGTGGTGGCCGTACCTTTCCTGCTGTGTTTGGTACCCACTGACTTGGCCTCCATGATGGCTGTCCCCTGGGTGGGCGGGCGGGACATGGACTTGGTCTGTCTTTCCTTCTCTGCTTATATTTCATGAAAAAATATGTAAAAAGGTCTAGAATCTCTAAGGATATCTTTGTTTAAGATATTTTTAAAATCTATTTTACAGAATAAAAAATATGGAAAATACTAGGTACATTTTTTAAACCAATAAAGTAAACAAATTTATAAAGATTTTATAAGTTTAAGATGACCTAGGGGACTTGATAAATGGCAGGATAAATATATTTTCTATAATTGTGAACAGGCAATTTAAAAGAGAACATGTACACATTTTCCACTCCAAAGTTGTAACAATGATAAAACTTAATTCTTGTGTTTCCCCTTTCAGCATTGTGAAAGATTTCACTCACCTGTCACTTCCCCATCTAAATCAGCATCTGGACCAAACCTAAGCTTGGTTTTCTGGGTTCTGATAGTGAAGACAAAATAGTTAGATGAGATCACTCAGTATAATACATTTGCTTAAGATACCAGAAAAGATTAATTCAAGAATCTTCATTACACAAACTGGAAATGAAAATTAAATTGCATTACTAACTTTCTAATTGTCGGCAAAGAAAGTTTGCTAATGATAACCTTCTATATAGCATGAGTCCTCTTCACCATTTTACAACAACATAATCATTACATGTAACCAAAATATCTTATGCCGACTTCACCTAAATTCAAAAATTTTATCATCATCAGGCATCTCTATTATCATAATAATAATTTTCATCGTGTTTTTTATTATAAGTATTATTGCTCACTTGAGAATGTTTTTGATAGTGCTGATTGAGGGGTCCTCTGCAGGTTGTTTTCCTGCCTTGCTGATGGCTGGCACACCTGTATCCACAGCAAACCCCACCCTGGCCCCTATAGGGACAAAAATAATGTATAATGAGCTGAAGTATGTAAAAATGCACTATTTTAAAAACTGAACTGCCCAATTGGGACCACAGAAACAGCATAAAGGCAAGGGCTATTTAAATTTCACATACAACATTTATCAGGATATTAATGAGAGATTCAGGCAGATAATTCTGAATTCTAAGTTGCCAGGAATTTTTCTTCTTACATACAGATCATTCTTATCATGTGTATACATTACTGCATGCCTATATTGCATTATATATGTATATTATTCTTGTTTGATCATGCATTTAGTCAAAGTAAAATTTACAGGTGAATAACCATTTGAAAAGGTTTACCCATTAAAATATACACCTTTCCTAAAGTACTTGCCCTTATACAAGTAAAGATACAGAATAATGTAACCTTAATATACAGGGATGAGATTTGTACAACTATATGCAGATTCCCCGACTATTTGAGAGCCAAAAAATTTATTGGCCTAGGCAGCTCCCTGATCCACACACTATTTTTCACTAAATGGCAGTCTCACCACTGAATACATGTTCACATACCTAGAGCAGGTGCCCCCTGCATAGTGGCAGACTGTGGTCTTATTGTGTTGGGGTCCTTGAGACTGTTCAGATACTGGCTTCTGGAGTGGAACGCTTCAAATATTGCCTTCAGACTGTTGTTTAACTGAGTAGGGGACACTTGCTGGAATATAGATTAAGGTAAATCTGATTATTACTGAGGATCACATACCATTTTGCTTATTTCTCCCATTTCTATTTCTGAAATTTAAAAAGTTGACAATAATGTTGTCATTCATTAGTTTACTTGTAATTTCCCCTTTTTTAATTTTTTTAAAATCAATGTTAAATACAAGGAGAATACATTGTTATTTTTATTGTCAAAATGATGCATGCCACTGGGATTCATAACGTTACCATGATCAAGCCATTTTGATTCTTGACAACAGCATCAAGCATGTAAATTGCATTGTATCATTCTAAGTAAAATAAAAGTGGTTAAAAGACATAGCCATTATGCAGAAGGCTATAATAAGGTTCTGATGGAATTTTACACAAGTGAAAACACTTTTTTCTATACTTAAAAAGAGCAACATACAAAGAAAAATGCATACATAACCATGTACTTTAATCTTGACACATGTGAAAGATGATTACCTCTTTATCCAGATTAGGTTTCTCACAAGCATCAATCCTCCTGTCCAGATCATTGAGGAACTGTGCCAGCCTCTGTGCCTGTGTGTTACTATCTGCCACCTCAGCCTTGATCTTCACCTGGGTATTGGTCAGCCACCTGGCGATCTTCTCCATGAAGATCAGGTCAAACATGTGGTTCTTAAACCTAAAAATGGGCAAAGAAAGAGAAACAATATTAAAATTCATCTGTGAGTGCATTTAAAGCAGGTGTCAAGATTTAGAGCAACAGATGTTTTTTCCTCTATTATCAGCTACTATTTTCGGAGAGTGTCAGCTTTGCTCCCATAACTGTCTAGGATAAGGCCAAAAAGTTAACCAAGTGGCAGTTTTGTTAACCCAAAGCCTGTGCATTTTTCAATAATGCCATCATTCTTCATGAACAATTTGATCTCTTGTGCATACATTTCTACTAGAACTTGTGACATACCTTTTTCCTTTTTTTTTTTTAATTGAGACTTTTAACCAAGTCCCCATTGAAATGGTGTTTTCATTTGGGAGCAAACTAATTAGGAATAACATCAATCTTGACAAGTTTTCTCACTTTCCAGTGCAAGAACTTTACCACATTACCTGTCCTCAAACTCTGACGCCACTTTTGTCGCCTGATCCAATCTCTTGGACTCCATGCCCTCCAAATCTGCCATGATGAAACCCTCAGCAGCATCTATCTTCTGAGACATCTTCTCTAGTTTTTTACGGTACTCATCTATTTCCTCTGGGCAGAAGTTGCCACCATCAGAAAATAACCTGCAAGTAATGAGGGATTTCTTAATCTACTCATTCTTTCTATAATATGCCAGGAGGCTTAGCTAATTCAGTATTCTGACTTCACTTCTATTGTTTTTAAGTCTGGGTTGAATTCTCTGTGGAACTGCGGCCCTTAAATTTAGCAAAAGACAACAACAACAGCGAAAATGTTGATTTGAAAGGGCAGTGAGGAGTGAAATACAACTGAATTGCACTACCGCCTTTTATTTCACAATTATTATTTTTTCTCTTTTTAATTTGGAGACATTCTATATTCAAAGAACTAAATTAAAATTCTTATAAATATTATTAAACACACACACACACACACACACACACACACACACACACACACACACACACACACACACACACACACACACACACACACACACACACACACACTTACTTGAAAGACTTGATAAACTTAGCATTGGACTGCCTGAGCATGGCCAGGGTGTCATCCAGGTGCTGTCTGAACTGTCTTAGGGAGGCACGGATCACAGACATGAACTTGTCCAGTTCTTCCTGCAGTCTGTTCTGTAGAGCTACCAATCTACAATGAATAAGGGATACACAACACAGGGAAATTAAACTACTGCAACCATTAAAATGTACTACCTTTTTTAAAAAAAGTCCTCTCTCGTCACATCTTTCATATGGGGTTAGTTAGGACATATGTCTATATTTATATCAATCACATTTCTTTAGAAGAGATTGAGTAATAACATTTACAATTGCTGCATGGCCTGACAAAATGCATCATATATAATATTACAATATATACAATATACAATAGTTCTTTTTCTACACAACTACTTCATATCATTCTATTCTAACTCCCCCTGTTCCTCACTTTGCAGACTTGGTGGCATTGATGAAGACCACCTCCAGGGCCTCTATCCCCTCCCTGAACTTGGAGGCCAGTTTATCATGTTCGTGGGTCATCTTAGCAAACTGCTGTTTCAGCTCAGTCAGTGAGTGGTTGATGCCCTTGCAGTGCCTGGTCACACGCTCACTGTGCATTACAAGCTCAGCTGGAAGGCAGATATTAAAGTTTTTATAAAAGTGCTTTTATTCACCTTTGCAATATGTGAGGTCTTACTGTCTTAACATTAAAATCCTTCAAAGAAAAAAGGAAAAAAAACATATTAGCTGTTGTAATGATAAATGTAAACTCCAGTGGCAGATGTTCAAGGAATAAATCTTTCATGGAACAAGAAATAATTTTAAATTTGCATCAGACATTCAGGGAACAAATTGAAAGTTTTCAACTTGAATGTTCTGCATTAATGTTGATTCTTTCCGTGCAAAAAAGGGTAATATATCACAATTTACAATAGACTGCATGAATGACAATAAATATCAACAAAAGTAAGAACATGTTAAAGTACATGAAAAACCCATAACTTTACGCACTGGCTACTTCACTTCACCACAACTGGTTAACCACACTTTCAGACCGAAAGATTAATTACACATTAAAATGTTCAGCTATGTTAATGTAAACATCAGTATCAGACATTCAAGGAAGAAATTAAAAGCTTCACAAAAATTCAGTATGCAGTGATTCTTATTTTCAAACGCAAAAACTATGATTCCTTTCATTTGAGGATTTTGTTTAATTCTGACAGCTACAATTTCATTGTTTCCCAGACACAAATAGTCATAAGAATGGAGACCCTTTATGTTTTAAATTGAAGTTTTTAAATGTGCGTTACCTGCTCTAACATTATGTACATCCAGCTCGGCTCTCCTAGTTCTGGGCTGGTGGAGATGAAGTCTCAGGTCCAGCTCACTGTTCAGCTCCTCTATCTAAAATAATACAATATATTTCACACATCAAACAAGGTATATATTTTATGGCACAATCCCTAGAGCAAGAATAAGCAAATGGAATAACTGCATAAAATAGAATGAAAAAATATATAACATATTGACATAAGAAAACAGAAAAAAAAACATATACGCCAATCAAAGATGAAACTGTAAATGTGTATATATAACTGCAACAATTATACATTATGAATATTGCTGCTTAATGACTTTGAGATATTTTTAAATTCATAATAAATTTGTTTCAGTTTAGAATTCTATGAGTACCTTGGCGGCCACCACACTCCTAGACCTCTCCATGGCTTCCTCACTCCACTCCTCCAGGTGGTCTAGGAAATTCATACGTATCCTACAGGGAGAAAATCCATTTATTTCAAATCATTCAGATAGAATATGGTTTACCTGGAACATGGATCAGTTTAGTGTGTATTTAGACACTTCTTTTTATTTTATTTTCTTAATATTATTATTATTATTATTTTTTTTTTTTTGCAGGGAGGGGGGGGTCTGTTTTATAATAAAGTTACTTAAAACTGCAACAGATTATCCAAAACAAAACAAAACCAAAGCTTAAATCCAAATATATATTTACCCTTTCTTAACCTCAGCCAAGAATTCCTCAGACACATCAACACTGGCCAGATATGGTGGAAGAACTTTGGGCAGCACAGACTCTGTCAGGAAGGTACTACCTGGGGGCTCCACACTTGACCTCGGGTCATCTGGATGACCACTGAATTCTCCAGCCACAGTCAGGACGAAGAAAGCAGTGCCTCTTGCAGTGGACAGGATCTCGCTGACTGCCATGGGTAGGGGGCTTTTCTGTAGAGATACGAATACAAAGAAAAGAATGTATATTTGTATATATTTAACAATTTCCTCTGTTGAAATGGCATGAGTGTAGCAGCTTATCATTTTGGGTGAACTTTGGAAACTGTGCAAATTGAAAATAGAAAAGAAAGTGAACAAAACATAATTATGTTCTATATTGGCCACTAAAGCTTTTTCACCTTAAAAACCTATGGTACGTTATGGAATAAAAGTATGCAGACTGTTTTTAGGGTGACATTGGTGGTGAAATCAAGTGGATCACATACGTATCAACTTGTTATCTTATATAGTTTTTATCTGTATAAAATGTATCTTACTTAAAAAGTGACAAAACAAATTTTATCTGTTATGAAATAAATACTGAGAAATGTAATATACCAAAATAGTTTCTTAAATGTAGAGCTCTAATACACATACAATTACAAATCTTTCACAAGTCCTCCCTTTTATATTTCCACAAAAACATAAATGCATTATCTTTCATCACAACAGTTAACAATTTACAAAAGTTCAATTAACGATTTGCACAACCATATCAAAAATTAATTCACAAACATTGTTAAAATAACATTTTGTTTGCTTTTATGCATTCATAGTATGTATTGATTCCCAATAATGAAGATTTTATCAATAAATTTTATCTCAGTATCATTCAAATGTGTCTGTATCTATAAACACTGAAGTTTCTCAAGCATTCCACTTGAAGTTACGGGAGCAAGGATAATGAAACTAATTCCACTATTTAAATATCAAAAGAACTCTGCCACATGAATGCGTCTTTTGTAATACCACAAAATTTCAGGTGAGACCCAATTGTAAACAGCAGTACACCTCCGTCTCATATATGCCCATACAAGTGCTTGTAGAATTTCAAAAGGAAAAATGAATATTTTATCCGCATACAGGTTGATCTAGGCCATTTTCACCACATGTTACTACACTGATGACACAAGGACAACTGAATACGCACTACACAAGCATTGTGTTTCAGCAGAGAAACAGTCTTAACATTGTAATACCTATGGAGAGAGCAATGCGCTATTCATCTGAAAGTATTGACTGTAAGCCCTATTGATTGGGGGCTAAGGTTTCCAAAGACCAGGTAAACACGAATAATGTTGTTGGCGCTCAAACAGGGGGGAAAATATGCATATGAAAGGCATGCATGTGCATTCAGTCGTTGAGTTCAGTGAAAATCGAATCCGCTCGTCCATGTTAGTGAGGGTCGAGTTAAAAGATACAGGACATGTTTTGAAGTATTTGCAAAGCTGGATATATTCTGTAACAAGATCCATCTCATAAAGCACAGGAAGTTACTATAGAGGACATAGAACCACTTCTGCAAATTTTGCGTAAGTTATACTCATATGATGTTTTTTATTTACCTACAGCTTCTAGTGTTTCTCAATTGATGGATGAAGAGAGTGATTTGGCACAACCAGATTTGAAGACAAAATTTGGATATCCCTGCAAAATTCAATTACGTTCTTTACCATTTTTAAGTGCATGAAAGGTATATTTTGAAAATGCAGTTCTGAAAGATTGCAATTCAAGAAGAAATCAGTCAGTTAATATCATCTCTGGTGAACGTGTGCTTCACAGTACATTGTTAAATAAAACCCCATAGCAACAGCAGATTGACATCAACTTAGATATCATGATAGTTAAAAGTATTTCTATGTAATTTAGAGAAGAAAGTTAACATATTACGAGGCAGAACATCCAACACAGCACAAAGAGGAATTATAGTGAACCAATACACCAGTTAATGTTTTTCATATCAAAGTAATGCTGAAAGTTAGTGACTTTATTTGCAATAATACTATTTTGTAAGATGGACTTAACCAAAATGTAATGTTAAAACTTGTTCATATTGCAATAGTGCATTCAAAGAGTTTATATTAGATGTACACAACTTCATATTAGGTAATGCCTACATCTCGATAATGTAAAATGGCTACCGCCATGACACACCCAACTGGACAAGGACGGCTTTCATCTTTGAGGAAAGGAACCTGTTTACTGTTTATAAAGGACCATAATAGTAGCAACAAATTTTGCTATATGCACTTAATGGACTGAGCCGACATAGTTGCAAAAAGTTTTTCTTTTAGGTGTGGAAACTTTTTTTAATGGATCGAAGACAGTGTAGGCTTTTTCTACAAGTAGGAAAAAACTTCAAAAATATCTATGAGAAAACATTCATCCTGTTAGCCTAAAACTTTTAGCCAGAATTTCTGTCATAAGCCTATAAATTAATAGCAAGTCATCACACAATAAAAGGAATCCTGCAAATACCAAACTATTATACTACATTATCCATATTACACAAGTAAAATTATCATAGCTGTTAAATAAACTTTACATCATAAGTGATTTATACACAGGCCTTTGGGAGAGCAAATCCTTTCACTTAATTCAAATGGTAATTATGGGTTATTGTATGGATTTGTGTGGGTGGCAGACAGTTGCAATTCTATGTGTGGCTCCATCCCTTAGAAATGAATATAGTAGTAACAGTTCTATGAAGTGGGGCAAGATAAAGTTGGAGAGAGAGAGAGAGAGACTACAGAAGCTTATTTGGCTATTATGTGCAATTAAAAGGGTTTTTCATAAAATCTGACCACAATCCACACTAAGTCAATAGCATGAGATAATGCAATCAATTTTTGATATATTTCAATCATCAATCTTATGCATTTACCTGGGGAAGAGGATGCTGACAACAATGAACCTTACTAAGTCTGCAGCAGATAGCAAAGCAATCAACTTATCATGTAATACACTGAAATTAACCTCAATGACCAGGACTAAGGCTACCAAAATATCATCAGTTTAGGCTGCATTTTAGACAACATGCTCACATTCGCTATATATATTAGAACAAGGTCAGAAAAGCAGTCCTCAGAACAGTTCCTCAATACATTTTGGAGCAATTTTTCCAAATGCTTATTTTACTATGGTCCTTTAGGTTAAACTTTGATTAATATATGATTGAATATTTCTGTATGGACATATTCCATTTTCCAGTGTTTAATGACACATCTTATTTGTCAATGAATACTGTACGGGGGCGAGGTTGTTGGGGGGAGTGGGTGGGGGGGGGATGGGAGGGTAGGCTAAAAAGAACGGGGGTGTCTTCAAAGTAAAATGTCAAGCTCGTCACCCCAAAGATACGGAAGAATTCTTGACATATTTTATCCCAAGTCAGGCATAGAACTTTTTAAACTTAAATAAAGGTGTCCCTTATTCTGCCAAGATAGAAAATTATCCACAGCAATGATTACAAGAGTTTATGCACTAGTAACTCACAATTTCATTTGAATTTTCCATTGTGTATCTTCCCGAAAAGAACCATTATAAAACTGACTCAACAACTTGTGTCAGTCTCGTGGACTGTAACACATGTCTGTGAAGAAGCACATTTTTGCAAATTGAGATATTATTGTAAATGGTAATTTGATGGCACAGGGTCGACTGGGGATGTTAATGATTTATGAAAAAATAGTAATTACATGAACAGCTGGGTAAATCAGTGGATAGGGCATTCATCTGGCCTTTTGCTGCCATTATATACAATAAAATGTCAAAGATGAAACTGAATATAATTATATATTATAATTCTACATGGGTGAATCTTGGTGTTTAAATTGTAATTAACAGAAAAACAATTATAGTTTAAGTTATCAATATTAAATAATGAGATGATAAAACAAAGATCTCATTTAATACCCTTTACCACATTCTTATATCGCAGTTAGGAAAAAAAACATTTAAGAATAAGACCCATTCCCATACCTAAATTGATCAAGTGGGACCGGTCCATCTCACGAAATAGCTTTCAGCTTAAGTGGCTTAGATATCTGGCATGCCTACTGAAGCTGGTAACCCCTAACAGCTTCAGTAGGCGAGCTAGACATAAGAGCTACTTAAGCTGAAAGCGATTTAGCTATCACAAGATTGTACTTCAATAGGACGAGAATGGAGCAATGAGGGAATTCCTTGTGCAAAAATCCCCTCACCCCCCCCCCCCCC